GATTTATAACAATTTTATTTTCGTGTTCACGGGAAAAACAGTCCTTTCTTAACTCTTGACTGGTGAACTGCTTTTCTCATTGGTACAAATCTAAAATTTCTACTGTAAATAGAATACTGAAAGGTCTAACTCTCCAAAAAATGTCAGCCATCTGCACCGTTCGATTTGGTCAGGAAAGTCCTCTCAAAAATGGGGATTTTCAAGTCAGGCTATCTCCCAAGAAATGGATCGCCTTTGGAGGCGGTCTTTAGAAGTTGGAAGTACTCTCTGTGGCCTACAACGCTATGAAAAAAAAACAGCCTGGGATCTCCACAATTGACTTGCACCGAAGGTCATCTTTGAGAGGTCTATATGAGTTACATGAGTTTTGGTGTTTGATTTGCAGCCTTATTCTCTGTTAGATGCAGATGATTTTGATCCAAACCATGATGGTCATGTTCCTCTCTTTTTATCTGAGAGTCTCTTCACGGAAGCAAAAGCGAAAAGAATAATATTTAATTGAACATCTTACAATATAGGTGATATGTTAGCATTACTATTTAACAAAAGGCTAATGCTTAGACATTAGCATTAACCAGTAACTCCAATTCTTTCGGGTTATTGACATAAGGACTACTTAATGCCAACTTGTTAGTATTATTTGTAAGTTTAATAGATAGTTTCCCAAACGCCAGATCGAGCATTACGACGACCAGATACGACTGTACACCGCCGTTTACGACTCCGTATATCTATGCACCGTATTACGGCAGTAAATTGCGTGTCGTATACGGCAGCCGTATACGACCACGAAAAATCCTACTAAAATCCTATTTTTAAAAAGTCATCATAAATCAGTTTAGAGCATTTCATATGAAAGAGCTCATCGACAACAGGCGAAAAAACCGAGGCTGACTCGAAAAATCCTTGAGAGAACCTCAAAACGAAAAAAAAAGCATCAAAAAAATCCTGCTAAAATCCTCCATTTAAAAAATCATCAGAAATCGGCTCTGAACATCCCATATGAACGAGCTCATTGACAACAGGCTAAAAATCGAAATCTCAGGATAAAATCCCGAAAAATCCTAGAGAAATCCTCGATAGAAAAAAAAGCATAAAAAAAATCCTGCTAGAACCCGCAAAAACATGATCGTTTTTGAAATCATCAGAAATCCATAGACTCGCACCTCGTCTGAAAGAGCTCACTGAGATAAGGCTAAAAATCGGAATCTCAAGGAAAAAATTCTGAAAAATCCTAGAGAAATCCTCAATACAAGAAAAAGCCTCAAAAAAATCCGGCTAAAATCCAGAAAAATCATAGTTCTAAAAATCATCAGAAATCCAGTGTCGCACCTCATCTGAAAGTGCTCGCTGAGAAAAGGCTAAAAATCGAAATTTCATGGAAAAATACCGGAAATATCCTACAGAAATCACCAATAGAAAATAAAGCATCAACAAATCGTGCTAAAATCCCGGTTTTAAAAGAAAATCAGAAATCAGCACTGAGCATCTCATATGAAAGAGCTTATTGAGAATAAGCTAAAACTGCAAACAAATGTCGAAAAATCATGAAAATTCCAAGAGAGATCATCAGTAGAAAAAAAGTATGTAAAAAATCCTGCTAAAATTCTGTTCTTAAAAATTCATCAAAAATACCCTCCGAGCACTTAATCTGAAAGAGCTCATTGAGAATAGGCTAAAAATCGAAAGATAACGTGAAAAATTCCCAAAAATCCTGGGGAAATCATCAATTGAAAAAAGTATGAAAAAAATCCTGCTTTTTTCGGTTAGCGTGAGTCTGTGTAGGTTTACTAAGTGGATTTCTTCAGGTCACGACGTCTTCATTGTTTTTACACATTCCAGTTTTGTATCTGACAGGAGTATCCGAAAAATCCTGATTTTGATGCTTTCCCAGATGGTACCTTGCGATACGAATCGAGGAGCTTATACAGGCGGCGTATTTTTACGGAAGTCGTTCACGGCAATTTTTTTATGGTCATTGTTTACGATCGCTGTGAGCAACTACTGTATACAGCTTACGTAGATGGTGTCTGACGACATTTTATCTCATCGACGTATACAGTTGCCGTGTTGCTATGCTAGTCGTTGACAGTCACATTTTACGGTCATTGTTTACAATGGCCGTAATATGCCGGAAAACGTTATTTACGACTGTTGTAAACGGTTACCGCGAATACCTGACGTAAACGATGTCTAACGGTATTTTTCGAAAAAAGTATACAGTCGCCATATTGTTACACTAGTTGTTTACGGTGACCTTTAACGGGCATTGTTTTCGGTGCCCTGATCAAATCGGCACGGTCGTAAACGACCGTTTTAGATAGTTTTTCGCACGTTTCATATGCGCAGTATTACGGTCGTATCTCACCGCGTTGTAAACGATCGTAAACGGTCGTATACTCGATTGTACGACCGTTTGACGGCCGTTTTTAACTGTGTACGGCACGATAAAATACGGCCGTAATACTGCGCATACCAAACGTCAATTTACAGTTACTTTTACGACCGTAAACTGTATAAAACGACAGTATACGTATTGTTTTTGACCGTCTCGACCACCATAAGCATTGTCCTGGGTAGTCGTAATATGCTGTAAAGTATCGTTTACCACGGCTGTAAACGGCTAACGTAAACAGTCACCATTATCCGCCGTGAGTGGTTAGTGTACGGCCGACCATGATTGACTTGGGTTCACAAACCGAATCGTGCCCATCTCTGTGTAATCCGAGTATCATTTACAGTCGCCATATTGTTAGGGTAGCCGTAAACGACGACGGTTTATGCTTATAGTTTTGGATGGCCATAATACGCCGTAAAGCATCGTTTACGTTTACCGTAAATCGCTACCGCAAAACAGCTGCTGTTACCCGCCGTAATTGGTTGGTAGACGGTCGTGTACGACCGAATATGATTGACCCGGATGAGTCAAACGAGCACTCGAAATATCAGCTCACAATGATGAGAAACCATAATATTTCAGGATAGGAGGAATTCGTTTTGTCCAGGACTACTGCATAGACGACCAATATCCACGCAAGTTTTCTCTACATAGTACGTGCACAGTTCTCGATTGTTATTCGTTTGTTTCAGGAATCATGGAAGGAAGCGAATCGAATGCAAGGCTTTCGAAGTATGGTGAAGTTCTCGGAAAATTGCCTGATTTCGGTTCTTTGGCTATGTCAAAAGCCGTCTTGGCCGCTCTCCGTCATAATGGCTGCGGGCGCGATCTCATCGCCTTATCATCTATACTCGGTGTTTTGAATATCACCACTATTTTTAAAGCTTTACCACAACAGTTCAAGAGCTCCGATGGTGACTTTATGACATTGTTGAATGTCATGAACGAGATACTCCTATTGAAACAATCTGTGCCAACACACCAATTCAACTTGGACCGAGTTTGTCAAGGGAAAGGTCTCTCCAGTGTCAAACATATTATCGCGCAAGCACTTAGACGGTACACAACTCTAGAAAAGTCCTTCAACATGTCACAGGAGTTTCGAAAACAAGCTCAAGCTACATCAGCAGACTGGGAACGAATTGCTCGAGCACTGCTTGCTGGTTATGCGGACAATGTTTTTGTTTCAATGAAAGAGTTGAAAGATCGTGTTCATCGATTTGTGCGCTACAATAAACCTGATGAAATTGCTGTTCTAGACTTACAGTCCACTTTGACTCGTGCGATCAGTGCAACGCCTGTATCTATTGTCTTGGCGAGGGACATTCGCCATTCAACTGCTGTTCGAGCAACAGCCGTTCTTTCATTCATTGGTGAGATAAAGCCTGCTTGGCTTGAATCTTCAATGAAGCGTCAATTCACTATTTCAAGCGAGGAAGAAACTTATCTTAACAGTAACAACAGATTTAGTAGTGCTCAATCGACATTCTCGAATAAAATTAATCTACAAATGAGTAACGGAATGTTGACATTGGATGGTCCAGTCGGCACTGTCCTCAATGCTGAGTTGCATCTTCGACAACAAATGGTCGACGAAATGAAATTTTCGTTGACAGCAGGATCTTCAACAACAACTGAAGCCAATAGCAATTTTTCTCGAAACCTTCAGAGTGTCATGAAAATGGTACATATTTTCAATCCGCTCAAATGGCGATGGGAAACTCAGAAACAAGTGGAAATAATCATCAATGCCAATACAGCAACGAAAACCTGTGATGTTACAGTGAAAGGAAGAGATTCGGACAATAAGAAAGTGAAGCAAGAATTTGATTCTTTCTTGAAATGGTTGAAGAATTGTGCAGTCATCAGACACCCGAGTGCCGGTAACTATTGCCTCGCGTATGACTAGTTGTGTGAGTACTCCATGATAAAATACAGGAGCAGTTTTCTTCAATCAGAGCCTTACTCTCATTACTATTTTGTCTCCATCATCACAATGAATGTTGATGGCTCATCACATTCGACTAAGAAAGAGATTAAGACGTTTGGTAATCACCTGATGTCCTTTTGTACTGATAGTCCAAATAGTAGTACTAGATTGTTCTGAAAAGCTGACGGGAACAAAATATTATGGAAAGAAAACAACACAGAGTACACGACAACCCGTAGGAACTACGACAAGACCTGTCGATCGAGTTCAAGAATATTTAACTTTCTAGAAAGTCACACTGGAGAACATTGAACAACGGACGCCATCAGAAAGACAGAGAAAACGACATGTAAATCAACGGTAAAATGACATCATTTTCTACTTAGTTGATGATAGGAAATTAAGTAGTTTTTCATCAGTCATTTTTCATTGAATCTACTTCGAAACTCAGTGAGTGAAGACCTCAAAATGAGTGCTTATTTACGCGACATGCTATCGTAGTCGTCATCAATAGATGAAATAAAAGGAGAATCTGCAATTTTAAATAGCAAGTAGTATGGACACTGAACTAGAATGTGACAATGCAGCCTTTCTTAGGTCTTCGTTGTCCTGCGCAGAGCAGTTGTACTTATTTTCTTCGTAGGTGTTCCTCCGAGAATTCTCCGTCCACAAATGCGCAAAGATTGTCGGGATATTGAAGAACGGATTGCTCGTGTTACTGACAGCAGTCGAACATTAGTGGATTTATACAACAGTGTCAAGGGTTCCAAAGCAACACGTGAGACACGTATGGAAGCTGTAGGTTGGATTGCTGTGTGTAAATTTAACTGCAAAGTGGAAGGTGGTTTTGTTCGTGATTGGATTGTTGGTCACTATGCAGTGCGACCGGCTAGTAAACCGAATCCCAAAGACTGGATCGAACTTAGAAATGGCGTTCCGTATATGAACATGGAACTTGTTCCGGCTGATCTAGACTGCCATTTACCTTCTCATGCATATTTCGATATCGATCGCTTTGAAGATGAACTCTATAAATTCGGTATATCATGCAAAGTCTTGCGAGAAGATTGGCGATACGTATTGCTGCTTGATGAAAATGCAGACACTGGTCCATTTACCATGGATCTAATTGAACCACACGTAGCATTAACCCATGATCGCATTGATTTTGATGTCAGTAATCTTGCACTGGAAAAAGATTACACCCACGAGTTAGGCATGCGAATCGATATTGAGCAGAAGCCTTATTCTATCGACCTGGAATCGATTGTTGATAACATCAAAAACAAACGCTTTCGAATTCTTCGTCCGATCGATGCTCATCTGCAACAACGCATTGATAAGATGATAAAACGGGGATGGACGCAAATGGGAGAACCACTTTCGGTCATACCATCACCACCACCAAAACACTACGTGGTATTGGTTCCACTATCGTCAAGCGCAATTCTGTACAACGCAGTTTCAACTGAAATAAAAAAGATCAGTGGAGTACAGATCATATCCATAGAAGAAATTAAAAATCCATATTTGGAAGAGACATACGAAGGAATGAGAAAGCTTATTGGCAAACAATGCAAAAATCTCGATCCAAATGAACAATTGCTGTTTCATGGAACGAAAAGCGCTGGAATTGAGGGAATACCCGAAGATGGTTATGATGATCGATACTTCGTCGCAAGTGGAGCATGGGGTAAGTAAAATATGCCATTTAATTCTTGTCTTGATTGAAATATTTCCTATGATCTCTTCGAGTGTTTGAATATTTCATCCCAATTTCTTAGTTATGTTCTATTTGTGGTTTCCCTTCACGCTTAGCTTGATTAGAGGTGGGAAGTTACCGTTCCCAGACCGTTACCCGAGAACGGTAACGGTAACGGTTGCTATGGAAGGAGTAACCAGTTACCCAGGTAACTGGTAATGGTCCCGTTACCGTTACCCGGGAACGGTAACAATAACTTTCCACCCCTAAGGTTGATCAGATTCTCGCAGATCTGTTTCTCCTTCTATGAATGGAAGACGTCGTGACTGTTTGCTAGATGATTTTCTTAAAAATGTTCGATCTCAAAGAATTATTATACGTAACACACGAGGGACTTTGGAAAACATGATGCCATCATTATTCTCACTCTGAAATGAGTATTGCTGGCAAAATTTTCTCTCAATTAATCTTCACTTCGCTTTTAGGTCATGGTGCATATTTTGCCGATGATCCTCGAAAATCTCATAACTACACAGAAGTGAACGCAACGAATCAAACCCGTGTGATATTTTACAACAAGGTTCTATTAGGTAACATATCGGTTCAGAATGCAACCAATGATTCACTGGCTTCAGCACCGCTGGGTTTCCATTCTGTCCAAGGAACAGCATTTCAATACCATGAATACATTGTTTATCGTTATGGTCAAGCTCTGCCATACCTGAAAATCGTCTACAAAGGCTAATCGGTCTTGAACTATGATAGATGTCAGAAAGAACAATTTAACATAGAACTCATTGCATAAAGAAAAATTCATATTAAGCGAGACACGTTCATATGAAATTTGAAAAGCGCTTTTAGCTCTGTACGATATATGTCAAGCACATTCATGTGAAAACGAATTCGATTATGAGGTTTTCTTTAATTACCAAGACAGTCAGAAACATCCAAAGGGACCTTTAAGCGCCCCAATAACGAAAAACATGGTCGTCATTCACTTACAATCGAGGCTTCCATTTTTGCAATGCGTTTATACCTGTTTCGATCCTTCTGACTGGCAGAGTAGGAAAAATTGGATATAGAATACGATAGGAAGAGTACAAACAATAGGTACGATTAACACAAAAATATAATATAACTGAATAAAAACTTCATGTTAGAAATGTAGAAGACCGTTGATCATTAAGGCATCTAACAAGGAACTAATTTCTTGATAAAATTAACTTTGACGGCAAAGTATAGTATCCACCCTAAATAAGCGAGAGCATGTCTGCTGACAAATCAAAAACAAAGTCAAAATTCAGAAAGTGAAAACATAAGAATAAGAAATCGTTGATAACGGTGTGAGTGTGCGGCTGTGGGTGTGCGGGGGTATTACTAATTTATGCTAACACCACTAACACCCAATTTTGTAAAAATGCATTGGGGTAATCTTCACTAACACCCACAACTTGGAGAGTTATGTGCACAAACATCCACTAACACCCACTTTGTCTGACTTCTAGAAAAAATAAAGCGTCAACAAAGATCAAAAAATGACCCCCTTCAACACTAACACCCAAAATCTCACTTATAGTCCACACAAACACCCTAAGTTATATTCACTAACACTCACGCAACTCTATAATCTACATTCTGACACTAATAAGTGCTATCCCTATATCACTTTTCCTGATAAACTTTTCACTGGAAACATCTCTTCAACCTTTGCCCTATCGACAAATGTCGGTTTTCGTCAGAAAAATAAGAATTGGGATAAATGAGGAATGTTTCAACTCGTCACGTTTTTTCTTGTCTGGCTTTCGTAACGAATTGATAGTACGAAAGCCTGTGACAGAGCTTTCGTAACGACAGAATCAGGGCTTTCGTAACAAATTTTACAGGGTACTCGTAATTGGTGTCTTAATATGTACCATTACAAAGCTTTCGCAACGAAAAGCATGTAATTTCTGCAAACTAAGTCCAGCTATCACCCTCATCCTCATTACGAAATCCCTGTTGCTTCGTTGCGAAAGCTCTGCAACTGTTACGAACTCCCTGTATTAATCGTTACGATCGCCCTGTAAATTTCGTTACGACATCCCTATATTTTTGGTGTTACGAAAGGTCTGATTTTTGCTGTTTGTTCAACTCGTCACGTGACGAGTTGAAACGTTCTCAATAAATGTATAGGAAGATAGTCCGTGTTCTGTTCTTCCAGAAACAGTATGATTTTTAAATAGATATCTCTTTTCTGGCCAAATTTTTGATGATTTCTGTTATTTACTTCTTGAAAAACAGCATTTTTTTCCAGAGGGGAGGGGATTTAAGGGATATTTCCAGTGAAAAGTTTATCAGGAAAAGTGATATAGGGATAGCACTTATTAGTGTCAGAATGTAGATTATAGAGTTGCGTGAGTGTTAGTGGATACAACTAGGGTGTTTGTGTGGACTATAAGTGAGATTTTGGGTGTTAGTGTTGAAGGGGTCATTTTTTGATCTTTGTTGACGCTTTATTTTTTCTAGAAGTCGGGCAAAGTGGGTGTGGGGTGTAGGTGTGGGTGGGTGTGGGTGTGGGGTGTGTGGGTGTGGGGTGTGTGGGTGTGGGTGGGGTGTGGGGTGTGTGGGTGTGGGCGTGGGTGGGTGGGTGTGGGTGTGGGTCTTCTCTTTATCTACAGGTACAACAACACCCACACCCACACCCTTCTTCAAATAAGCGAAAAGAAGGTTCATACACAATTCCTCACATGAGTGTAATCAGTATTTTCTTTTCCGAATTTCTAGAGTTTGAATCAATATTTTTGACTCTTATATTGTAATTACAAAATCCACAACCTCAAAATTTAAAATCACCTGTTATTAATAATTGCTGTTGATAGTTATAACCCGAGTTGATAGAACTACGGTTGATAGTTATAACCTGGGTTGATAGTTATAACTCTCGTTATAACCATTTTAACGTTTTTCCGATTTTCTCAACTATCAATTTTTTTTTGAAAAATATTTTTAACTCCAACTGTGGTCTAAACGAAATTTAAATAACTTTATCTAATAAAATCAACTTCTTAAATAACAGAAAAGTATCTGAGTATTTACAATAAATGAAAAACTCATTTTATATACTAATATTGCTATAGTCTAAATGTGAGGTGGATGTAGATATAATTTAATTTGATTCTTTCAGAAATTGTATCCTTTTGTTACCAAACGATTTACTATGAATGAATCGAAGCTGTAGATGATCCTTGTAAATTTATTCCTTTTCTATTTACATTTTATTCTTTGTAGGAAACACTATCTATTCTTAAAAATTCTCGATATCAATCATTATTTGCAAATTTTGATTTGCAAACCGATATTAACCATGAAAGTTTTAAAAATATTGCTTCATTTGTTTCTTGACTTAATAAACAAAATTTAGTTGGAGATGAACAAGTATCGGTATGATAAAAGAAAAGACAATGTTCGAAAAGACAAAGATTTACATTAATCTAGCCCGTAGCAATAAAAGAGCATTATCCTCATCTTCGTAAGTATCGAACATCTAGTAGAATCAATTTTCTTCCATTCAACATCGCATCTAGTTTAACATTATTTTATTAAAAAAGAATTCCGTCATATACTCTATACAAATGTGCTATATTCAATAGTGTATGGAGTATATAACGTTTATACCGACTCTAAAAATCGCACATTTTGCTATCGAACGAAAAACATTCTTGTTTCCATCTGTTTTATTTTTTGTTTGTAACTTTTCATTGTAAAAGGTGTTATATACATTTGCATTAGCTGATTCTTCATTATGTTCTTACCAACGTTTTCTACTGTTCGACTTTGTATCAGAATTGTAGTAAATGAAGCAATTATTTTTCTATCAATTAACTGTTCTTTGACGTTTTTATAAGACAAGATGATGATGTAATCATTGTATCGAATAGTCTTGTCTATAGAACTAATATTTTAGGAACAATCATAATTTCAGCATATTTTTAGAAAACTAAACTACTACCAATGCTTAGATACATGTTAGTTTCAGCCAATATTTCCACTAAGTTATTCTTTTTACACACTAAAGTCAATAAACATTACTGTACTCTTAATTTATAGAAATTTAGACTTTTGATAAAGTATCAGTCAAAATTGTTCTTATTTCGATTATGAGGTCTTTTTTCAAGATGCATAAATTTTACGAAAATAATCTTTAGTTATAGTACAGTTTTTATGGCCATTTAGTCTACTATTTGACCTCGATTTGCACGTTTTCACTATTTAAATCATATGATGAGTCATCCATATTTATCAGCGAACTATCCTATTCGATACAAGAAACAATGGCAACTCTTGCTTCCACTTCGTTATATATTTATCTTCCTTTCTCTTTCCATTTTTATGAGTTTATCTTTGTTAGTCAAAAATTTCACATATTTTTATTCATAACGAAAATCGTTGCATATCAGAAAATACTAATGATATAAATATTTGTATTTCTTTGTTTTGTTTTGTTTTTAAATATGCCCGAAATAGGTTCATGTACTGATATAACATGTGACGATGAAATCAAAGAATTATATGAATGTCATTGTTGTTCACGTCTTGTCTGCTTAAATCATTTGATTGAACATGTTGAAATAGCCAAACAAAATAAAAATCGATTAGATAATCTTCGTAATGAGTTAGATGTAGCTATAGCGACCCTGAATCTAATTGTTGAAAAAAAATGACTTACTATTGGACGCGAACAATATTTAATTGAACGAGCGAAAAAATTTCTTGATGCATCTGATAGTTCAATTGATGAAATACAAAATATATCTGAACAAGTAAATCAAGCAATAGCATTAAATTGTTTAGGTAAAAATGAATATTAATTAAAAATTTCTTCTATTGTTTATTGTATTTTGTGTTTTTTATATTAGAAGGGAAAATGAAAGTCGAGCCTTTGCCATTATCGAAAAAAAGAGTTGTTTTTCTGTTTGCGAATGTAATAAAGAAAACATTAAATCAGATGGTAAATTGAATATTTTCTATTTTTTGGATCTAAAATGAATTTTTTTATAGATCAATCACCATTAATTGATAATCATTCGATATCAAAGTATCTCATTTCTATATCATATATTATGTATTACTTGTTTTTTTTTACATCTCTTGTCTGTTCGCATTCAGAAATAGATAAAGG